GACCAGTCAGTATCTTCTTGCTCCTTGTGTCCACTACAGTAATACCACCTGATCCTTTGCCCAGTTCAGACCCTGTTCCATGGGACAGGCCAAGGATGGAGAACTTCTTTAAACTGAACTCAATATGTCTGTCATTAGAAGAGAGGGTAGCAGTAAGTAGAGTACACCAAGTGTCTCTTACTTCTTAATGCATCCTTCACTGCAGTAGATGTTACTGGTAATGGCTGATCTGTCACACCCTGGACCACCACAAGTACATTTTTTCTGTTTAACTGGTTTGACTGGTTGAGAGCTCTTTACGTTACCTGATAATGCTGCCTGTCCTCTCTATTGAGGTGGATCCATTATTAAATGCAGTGCTTTGTTTTATAAGGCAGCATTGATACTGCAGTGCATTATCAAGCAGTTGGATGCAGAGAGCCATGTTCTCATAGCTTTTCTTTCTCTTACAGGTAAATTCTATAAGTATGAGCTGTATAGCATTGATAATCACTCTGCAGAAGGGAGCTGTACTTTTGAAGATATACGTCTGTATGATAATGGAGAGGCCAATCAAACAAAAGGAATGCTTCAAATTTGTGACGGTGTGAAATGGACTGCTGTCTGTGACTATCGATGGAGGCAAGAATATTCGGTTGCTCTCTGCAATAATTTGGGTCACACTAATCCAAGTTTGTTTATACCTTTCATTCTACCTTAATGCATTCTTGTCATTATTATAGCACCACTGACAATATTAAATAATGGCTCGTGGTCTACAATAAGTTATGTTGCTAAATATATCTCATCGTACTCTACTCCTACATGCTACAATAACAACAATACAATAGTCAATTGCTTGACAAATTCATCCAGCTATGTTACGAGCTATAATGCACATTACTACTGTAATACTGTAAGAGACACACTTTATATCCAATGTGACTTTGATATGGGTAAGTGGAACTATTATCTAGATAGTAACTTTGTTCATGTTAAGTGCATTTCTCACTAAAATATTTATATACCAGGTACATGTACAAGTGGATCCATTCGTCTGTACAATAATAGGACATCCGGCTCTAACAGCTTAAGTGGAATGCTCCAAATATGTGATAGTAATGGACGCTGGACAGCAGTCTGTGGTTATGGATGGAGGTGTAGTACATCAAAAGTAGCTTGCAAGCAGTTAGGCTACACAGGAAACAGTAAATACAAATACAAACATTGATTTAAATTGTAATTTTGCAGATGTTCAATATAACATTGGTGCTGGGCCATGGCCTA